TAATGTACTGTATAGTCCTTTTGTTATGCTCAGCCTCCTTAATATGGTTATTGTCAGATACTACATAAATCCTTGGCATTTATTGCTACAAGCCTTTGTGTAAATCAGATTGTGGCTGCTGTGCGTCAGGACTTTAAATACCCATATCTAGGCACCGCAAATGAATTTCTTCCAGCTTAACGTTCATTATGATGTAATTGTTCTTTAAATTTTGATCTTCACTTCCACTTTTTACTAAAGCCAATCTAAATCTCAAGAGTGGCTGACTCAAGACTGGATGTTCCAATGTGTTGTAAAGAATCCTTACTGATTGCTTTTGACTTCTCGTCTTTTTAACACTGGATATTTAATACTACTGAACCATTGCTACCTGCGTAACTGTCAGTTTAATCTTATGTGCTTTAATCGCTATTGAAAGCAATAACAGAGACACATAGTCGCTGCCTGGTTTCCCTGGAAGGTCTGAGTGGCTTCTTGCTTGTTCGTGGTAAATCGAATTTTAGTTAGCTTGATCACTTGAAAGGAGAGGTTTAGGAAGGGGAGTTGAGGCTTTCATCATGGAGGTTGTAGGCCAACTCCGAAATGCTGGCAAGAAAGCTTTCTGCGTTGCCATTGACATCGATGAAAGCAGCTACCATCTCGACTAGACGATCGTGTGGGTAAGGGGTTTCATCGTCTCTAAGGAGGTGCAGTAGGCAAAGGCACATCAGACTGGCTTCATGCGGTCGCAGGTGCAGATTCTTGTTCGTGAGATTGAACTTGGCTAGCACGTTCTGCAGCTTCTCATACACCGATGACAAAGGAGCCTCCAAGCGAAATAGTATCCTCTTCAAACTAGATTGAAGTAGGTGTCAAATAGTTTATCATATGGTTAGTTACATAGACAAATTAATACGAATACGAAAGACCTCAAATCTCAGCGAGTTTGCCCGCATCCCTGTCTAGCATCCACAACTCCGGAAGTAACAGCTGTTTATCATGGCCAGAATTTCCTGTATGTTTACCCAAAATTTTTCCATCCTTCTGTGGTTTCATGAGTGCCTCTCCAGTTGTTCAGTATGGATGGGAGGATGCAGCTAACCCACATACTGTAGATATTAGGAGGTTTGCTTCCTCCGAATCATATTTGTTCGAGTTGTGATGATGCATACCAGTTTTTAACAACTACCAAATTTTAATAATGAAGACACCCTTAATTTCGCACCTCACGCAATGCGATCCTTTGGTTTGGGTTCATAAATCAAATGGTGGAGTTCAATGTTGCTAGTGAGCTAGTCGATTCTGAGAACGTATAAGATGATTCGATGTACTGCTGCGGAGGCGCGATTTCACCAGCTTTTTTGAGAGTAAACGTATTAAAATAGAAAAATAACATGATCGGACTTACCTTGGCAAGAGAGATTCCATCAACAGACGGAGGCGGTAGCTATACTGCGATATTGAATCAACCAGCGGCATTACCACTGAAAGAGGCTGGAAAAAGTAGGCCACACTATTAAAAAGATTAGCTAATCCCATCTCAAGGTTCTAAAATCTAAAACATTCATTGCATTACCCATTGCATTACACAAATTCTGCTGATCAACTACTTTCCGTACGTAGGCTGAAAGTGTAGTAAGTGGTGCTAGGAAAGGCACTAACCTCCTCCTCATATGAAAGCGGTGACGGTGATCGAGAAGTGGTTGAGGTGCAGCATTCCTGGTTGAATAGGATCTCCACAGCCTCCTTTGTCAACCACTCTTTAAGTCGAGCCAAAACAATATCTGCAGGAGTAGCCTTAGTTTCTTCTCCAACTTCTCTCCTCTCGACGATTACCTGTTTTGGTGAGTTCTCTGGTTTGGATACAGTCACATTTTTCCGTTCGGTTATTTTGGCCAAAGTTGACCGCGGGACAGTTTCGTTCCATGGTGCAAGGCTCGGTTTAACTATTCGGTTCTCCTCCCCATCCATAGTTTCGTCAAATTCTGAAAAGGTGCCCCTTTCATCTGCCTCTTTGTCAAGTGTGTCCTCCCTTTCGCTTCCCTCTTCGGAGGAGGAAAATTCATCCTTCTTGCCTTCGTTTTGAATGTCATCGTTGAGTCTGAGATAGTACAGTGCATCTAATATAGTCTTTCCTGGTCGGCCGGGCGCATCAGGTGGGAGGAGTTTGATACCAAGCAGCGGACCGGTGGGTAAGGGTCGACACCAAGCTGGTTCTGTGGGTATTTGACGGCGCAGATAGCATGATGCACGATAGCACCAATCGGAACAGAAGTACTGTCAATGTCAAAACAAACACCCCACTTAAAATGGGAGTATAGGCTCAGTGAAAGGGCCTCATCACCAATAACCACGTTACAAGTCGAAATTGTAAGGAATTCGTGCAGTCGAGACGAGATACTTCAGCCAAGATTTCATCCGCCTTCAGTTATTCGATTCTTTAATCCAAGTGTTTCAAAAAATGAGGCAGGAAATACGGAAGTTGAGTGTTGAATAGGAAGTTAATTGTGAATTGAAATTTCGATGTCTTAAATACGCTTCTATTGAGGTAGCCCATCAAGCCCCGATTTACGACTGACTGACGATGCTGTGAGTGAAAAAAGTATTACCTGAGAGTCGAAAATTTGCTGTTCTGCATAGGAGACACCGCAGTTAGAAAATTTGTCATGAAAAACTAAACTTTTACACTATTTTTAAAAGGCCTCATCATTCGGGTTCAAACCACACAACAATTACGCATACACCTTCCGATCGCCGATCTCGTAGACGCGACGCCTGGAGACAGAGATGCGGTATTGCTGTTGTTTAAATTGTGTTGCTGATGCAGGTCTCAGACAGAGAGGGTAGCCACAGTTGCCGTAACCGACGCGCTCCACGGGAATGTCATCGTACTGCTCGCGCTCCAGCCAAGGCAACTGCGAGAGAAACCTCATCAAAATAAAACAGGGAATCCATTTTCATTCATTTTTAAATGACAGTGGCTTGATTTAGACCACTTTCAACGATATGGCTTTGGTAGAAATGATAACTGAAGTAATGCAGCATATACTAATACACTCGATTGCAAAAAGGAAGTCACAAACGCGTTAACAGACCATTACAGAATGAAAGAATTCGGGAAAGTCAGGTGAGAGCTTACTGCAAGTGCAACCATTTCTTCAGAAACAGGATTCATACCAAATCTCTCAACAATAGTGAGAGCGTTCTTCAAACAGAGTGCTTTCCGTCGGCGGGTTGTCTCAAAATCCGCTCTGGATGCTTGAAATGGCCCCCTGTCTGCCTCCTTCGGCTGCCGTAATTCAAAGTCCTTGGCCATCTTAATGCAAAGATTGAACTGCAACTGAGTCGAGATATCCTTTAACCTTAATTGTGCTTGCTATTTAGCTTTCGATAAACAGACCCAACCACACGAAAAAAGGGGATGGAGAGGTCAACTGGATGCAAACTCTGACTATTGAAGCGAATAACGATGCAAGCCTGAAGATAGCATGTATCACAAGAGCAAAGGTTTGAATGGAATCAGCACAATGAGAGTGAAGGTAGAATCAATTAAGTAACAAACAATATACCAGAAAAAGAGACGGCACTGGTGCAATACGAACAAATGTAATGGGTGCCTACGTTGAAGTTATTCAATAAAAATCCTAGCGTTTTTTTCAGTTAGTGACGAGGAG